CAAGAATTAAAGCCTCCACAAATTGATTAGTTATCTAAATAATATGATTAGTAGGAAATCTAACTAAGAGTTGTTATCTGTACTTGTTTCCAGCTTGTTCATTCAATATTCTCATTTAATTTTTCTATTTCAATATCAGTTCTTATTTATGTTAACTGATTACAAGAAAGCTTGTTAGTGGCTTGTTTATATCTTATTTAATTAGTGTCAAATATTTATATACTAATTACAATGTGAAGTAGTTAGATACTAATTACAAATTTATTAAATTTATTATTAATTTAGAAATATAAAATAATTTGTTAATATGACAACTACTTGAGAGTTCATTTAATACTTTCTGTTTATGAAGAGATTATTCTAAACATATGTAGTTCATCGTTCGAAGACCAACAGGAATGTGTCACGTCAGCAATACCGAGCCACGGTACCGAACAGTACCGAGTCGGGTACCGAGCAGGGGGTGACGTGGCGCATTCTGGTTGGTCTCTGAACGGCGTTCGGCGTCTACACAAAATAATTTCACCTGTTTGTTTGTTTATGGGCTTTTTCTTAGCTATTTCATGTACTCATTTAATTAATTTAGGCATGTCAATTACAAGCCAAACTCAATTATAAATATTTCTAAATAAGTAAAATATAAATATATCTATGAAAGCTCAACTCAAGCTCGAGCAAAATCAAAAGAACTATAATAAGATCAAGCCATGCTCAATTCATAACATGTTCGACTCAGCTCGACTCGATTACAGTCCTAAAGCCGAGCAAAACTATTACTGTAATCTCACGTATCTCACACCAAATACCCAAACAAATACAAGCAAAGTTTTACATGACTTGATCAACCAAAGCTTATTGTTCCCACAGACTTCAAATTCTCACCAGAAATTTCATGCCTTTGCGGCAAATCCTTTTCCACTTTATCCCCAACTTGCCATACAACATTCAGCTCGCTAGTATTCCACAACCCTAAAGTAGCATATATAATCATCTCATTATTCACATACTCAGCCAACAAGTTATAAATAGGCAGGGTTAGCTCCCTTGGCGACATTAACGGTGCATAACTGTCGATTGATGTGCCATAGGAAATCATGCTACCATTCGAGTGACGAAAGGCAACAAGGGCCTGTGTGCCAACCATCTTCATCGCGATAGGATTGATACCCCATGCCACCCATCCATGTCGAACCTGTGAAGCACGAAAGGCAGCACGAAGGGTGCCAGGCTTTGGCGCATATGTCCAGTGGAGGGCGGCGTTTAGATGGGGAAGGTCGATGCATGAGGCGAATGTTTCATCGGTTGAAAAGGTGTAGGAGGAGCATGAGTCATCGGCGGAGAGAGAAGGGAGGAAGGAGAGGAGGAGGATGTAGTAGAAAGAGAGAGACATTAGCGGTAAGAGGGAGTTGCACTTAGTGTAGTATTTTACTCAAGAGAAAGAGAGGGAGCAGAGTATTATAGCTTTATAGGGAAACTAAATGGTTGTGAAGTAGTTGAGAAAATTTGTGAGTTTATGTTTACTTGACTAGTTCGATCAGTTGAACTAAGGGGTTTGAAAGGTGTGGAAGGTTTGGGAGGTGTATAGTAAATGAGTTGATTAAGAGGGATGAGTTGGGAAAATAGAGAACATTAGAGAAGAATATAGAGTGCTTACTGGAGATTGGTTGAGTTTGTTGATCAACTGAACTACAGGCCAGTATCAGTATTTGTGAAGAAAACCAAAACAGCAAGTTTTCTTATATGTTCGATCTTAAGACTGTTGTACAACTGGGCCTGCCAGGTAAAAGCTCTTTAGAAAAGAAAAAAAAATATATTAGATGTGAAATATAGAAGTAAAGTATATGTGTTATTGACTCGAAATAATGAAGATGAATTAATAAAATTTATAGCATAAAAATCAGTCAAAGATAGAAAATATTGATTTAAAATTTTATTAAGAAAAAATATCTATCATATTTATGTTTATTTAACGTCTAAATTTATATTTTCTGTTTTCCAAATTATTTTTCTTTTCAACATATACATGCAAATAAAATAAACTTTAATTCTCTTTGATTTTTTTTTTTAGAAGTTTGGACTACTTACGTCAAACTCATACACATTACAAATGTGAGCTTCAAACTTAAGACCTCTTAATTGGTAGTCAAAGTTCCAGACCAACATATCAATATGAGCTTTGTATTTGATCCTAGTGAATTTTACAAACACAATAATTTTTTTTACCTAAAGGATAGAGAATTGTTTAATTTTGTGAATTCAAATATTATCATATTTTGTTGATGATGAACGTTTGAGAATATTTTTTTCATACTTTACAGTACAAATATTAAAAATTTTGTATTAAAAATTTGCTTTAAGAAGCTATAAGAAAGCCATCCCAAATAAAGACTACAATTATTTGGAAAGTTCAAGCAAAACTATAGTACAAAAATTCAAATATTCAATCCAATGCATACACTCAAAATAATCCCTTAACTCTTTATGAAGGACCAAAATAATCTCAATTATATTAAAAGATCGTTTTTTTTCATTATTCTTTAGTATAATTGAGGATCATTTTAAACTTTCATAAAGAGTTATGAGAGGATTTTGAACATTTTCCCATTCTGAAATATACTTCGAGAAAGACTTTTGTCAAGCTAGCTGCAAAATCACCCACATTAAACAAGAACCTATCATCACTATACAACAAATAATCCTGCTGCCTTTGAAGTAAATGCTAGAAGTCATCCACCAGCTGCAGTTGTAGTCTATTAGGATTTCATGACAGTCAGATACAGGGATTTGGGCAAAAGAAGCGTGCGGTTTTTTTTATTTAGGTCATTTAAGGCAAATTTACACACATAATACATACACAAAGACTCGAACTCAAAACCTCTTAATTGGAAGCCTAAATCTAAGCGTGCAGTCTATATATCGTCCTCTTTATGGATTTTGCCAAAGAAGCGCAAAATCCAAAATCCGGCCACAGAATTTAGTTTTGTTCGTGCCTTTGCCGTTCGTGATTCTAGTTAGCGGCTCAGTGAGTGAAGAAGCAGGATTTAATCGAAGAAGATTAACGGGATTTGGCCGAACAAGTACTCTGCGGGCAAAATGAAATTAGAAAAATTTAAAAAAAAAAAAATGGGGTTGGTGAGTTGTTTCAGGTCGACCCTGATTTGAACTGGATCGAGTTCGGATTTGGGTCTATGATCTATTTTTCTAATCGGGTTGAGTTGAGTTTAGTTCAGATCAATTGCTAGCGGATCATTATCGAGTTGGACCTGAAACAGACCACAAAATCCATTTTCATAATCCCAAGCTATTGAGTTAGCCAACCTTACTGAAGTTAAGTTCAAGAAAAATTATATGACGTAAAACAGCTCACTGGTTCAAGTCCTAACTACCAGCCCTTCAAGGCTCCTTCCTACGCTAGAAAGTACAACACCTGAATTTCAACCACCCAATAAGAAATTAACTCCAGTTAAAATAATGAAGCTACGTGAAAAATCGTTTTGTTATGTGATGATACTATATCAATCATGCTTCTAAAAATAACCATTTCATTTCTCCCAAGATAACAAAAGTATTTAGGAAAAGCTGAGTTGGAATAATCTATAAAGTTTTCAAAACACTATTGAGTTTGATGTTGATAGGTTAGAGTAAACTGCGTCTTAAAATATTGCCCAAATAGTTATGCCCCATTCTTCAAATATAAGTTGTTTGATCTCTCACCCCTCTTTGAAAGTCTAATAGAGGAACCATTTAGCAAATCAAAGCTTAATTTAATCTGTAGTTAATCTTTGATGTTTGTTGCCATCTTCTCTGAAGACATATTTCATAGAAATAAATTGAAAAAAAGAAAAGCAAACTAGAATGAGAAAACTGAAAACATTAAGCGAAAGGAAGATAGGAAAAAGAAAACATAGTTCTATTTAAAGACTCATATCCGTAATGAAATTGGTGACTATATGAAAATTCAGAAGGATGTATTAAATTGACATCTATTCTTAAATGATTGTCTAAATCTCAGAGAATACCATATTGAATCATAATAAGTATAGAAAATAGAGAATCTCTCTATTGAGGAATGATGAAATGTCTTCTCAGACATGGTTCAAGCATCTCAACTATAGATAAAAAGTTCTCATCATTTATTCTTGGTTATTATAAACAAAAATCTTTTTTTTTTTTCTTCTAACGGCTTGATTAATCATCCTTAATTTATAAGAATAATTGCTAAAACTAAAGAAAAAGAGAATACATACCCCACATGCAAATCAATGCAATGCTAATAAGTTTGAAAATGATATAAAACACGCAACAATAATTAAACAATAGTTTAAAGTGATAACAAAAATGACCATTCCTCTCTTCATATAAGAAAAAATAAAAATCCATCGAATAAATAAGCTACAGTACCTTATGCGATATCTCATTTGAGAAAAGTCGTCTTAAAGAAAACTTCAGCCAGGCCAGGATCCTCATGCTAAAGAGAGAAATTACCAAATAAATAACAAAAAACTTCGCACATTTAGCTAACATATAGTCATTACTTTGAGAAAAAAATATCAGTGGCTTCATTTCATTACCAAATCCATCCATCCTAAAGCCTCATCATATCAAAAATAAAACAAAAATTAAAATAAAAATAAAAATTGTATGGTGAAGGAGGAAGCAAACTGGCGTCGAGTCTCTAATTTGCATCAGCAGGTGATTTGGTTACAGCAACTTCAGCTGGACGGAGAACGCGGTCATGTATCATATAGCCCGGCTGCACAACAAAATACGATAAAAGGTGGAAAATTAGCAACAACAAATAAAAAAATTGTATAGATGCAACAGCAACAACAACAACAACAACAACAAGCCTTTGTCCCACTACATGGGTTCACCTACATTAATCTTTTTCTCCACTGTGTCTTGTTAAAAGTCAAATTCTCATTTTTTTTCCTTTCTTTTTTTTTCTTGTTAAAAGCCAAATTCTCGTTTAAATCTAATAAATAAAGATCATTTCTAATATTTTCTAACCAAGTCTTTTTAGATCTACCTCTATCTTTCTTAACATAAGTCAAATCTAATACTTCTACTTTCCTAACCGGATCATCGGAAGGCCGCCGTTTTATGTGACCAAATCATCTAAGGCAACTCTCTCTAATCTTATCTTTCACTGGAGCTATTCCAACCATTTCACGTATATGCTCATTTCATATCCTAGCCACTGATCGACCTGAACATCCTTATCTCTGCAACACTTAACTTAAAAAAATAAAAATAAAAATAAAAATAAAAAATTGTATCGATGTAAAAAACAAAAGTAATAAAAGAAGACTGCCTATCTTTAGATAAACAGTAGAAATCGAGGTGGAGGTGGAGGTTTCTCATTTGGTTCTGCCTTTTTTTCTTAAATCTCAAAATAGGTTTGATTTATATGAAAAATGTATTTAAATAATAAACAATTTCATATGCATTTATGGAGCACCTTGTATTTATGTGATATTATGATAATTTTATTCCATATTAAGCGAACACATCAACACAATTATGCTGAAAGAAGCATGAATGGACAACTTCGAATTTCTAATGACCAAATAGCTCTAACTCAAGTGAATATATGCTCTCTGATTCCCCTGGAAGAGGTCATAAGTTCTACCCAAGTATTCATCAGCTCCCTAAGCAAAATTTGATCTGTAATGAATCTTGCATTTCTTTAATTATAACTAGTGTCATGTCTATTTAATTGAAACTGATTATGTACCCTACTTTTAATTAATAAAATCTTTAAGTTTTTTTTTAGGAGGCATGGGGCATGTTCACCAACTTCTTGGTTGAAATTTGATCTAAAACTAGCTTTGTCTCTATAATGGATCTTATAACTTAAAGTTTATAAAATATTTGAAAAATAAAACAATCTAGAAAAAAAAAGCTTCGGATTTCTATTGATCTTGCATGCGAAATTAAAGAACTAGCTTCCTCCAGTTTCAATTTCAATACCAACAGGATAAAGAAAACATTCTAATCCAAGATACTCACATCCCTACATAACTAAACAAAAATTAAATACAAGTCCACTAGATTAATAAAGTTCATAATTTTATTGAGAAAATTCTACAGGTTTTCTCAAACAAGTAAATAAGGGAAGCATGTCGCACAAATACCTTTCAAAAGTTTGTTCATCTCTATTAATGACTTCAGTCATTGCCAAAACATTAGGTATCACATGATAAAATTTTCAAATAAATTCTATAAAAAATATGGAGGTCCGAGAAAGGCATACCTTCAAAACATTAGCAACAACTCCCGGTGGTTTTGACGCATCAGGTGTTTCATAAACTGCATTATGTTGGTTTGGATCAAAATTTTCATTCAACGGATCATATTTCTGAATACCAAACTGTCTGAAGACCTGAAAGAAAAAAAAAAGTATTTCAAGTCCTTAGGATGAACTTTTAGTTAAGTACTTTTCAAAGGGTTGCTTTGAAATATTAAAGAAGATAGAAATATAAAATGCTCAAAAAAGATAGATGAGTCCCAAGATAAATGGGAAGCAAAGCATGACCAGAGAAAAAACAATGGAGGCATGCCCATTCCGAAATTCCTCAATAATAGATCTACATAATATACAACATAGTTCATTGCTCAGATCAATATGATTGTGAAAGCCATGCATCGCCTGCATGAAGGTATTCATGAGACTTGTATACCGCATGTCCCTTAGATATGCAAGAAAGAAGAGTATTTTTTATTCGATTAAATTACCATACTTGAATTTGTATAAAACTAAATCCACTCGAAACAAAAATAACAGATATCGAACCAAATGGACAAGAAAATCAAGAACTGTCAGCAACTCATTTTCTCTTAAAAATGAAATCTTCTGTTAGAACAAAAGTGCAGTTCTAAAAATCAATAGGTTTGCTTTGCAAAAGTACAAAAAAGCATCATATGTCGTGATGGGCATATCACTGGCATGACACTTTTTTTTAATTTTCTAGATATAAATTCCAATGCTTCTTGTTTTGATAAGTTAAAAACATACATTGGAGACACTGCACAAACCATGCCACTCAGATTATGGTAACTATGATTCATCAAATCTAATTTAAAATTTTTAAACATAACTAGTCCCATGACATTAAAAGATTTGACTATAAAATATTAGAAATGACAATTTTTATTAAATTTAAATCAGAATTTGACTCTTAACAAGGCACAATGGAGAAAAATGATTCTTGTAGCCGACTCCAAGTAGCAAGATAAAAGCTTAATATTGTTGTTATTATAATATTGTTATTATTGTATAACTAGTCCTATGACTTTGCAGTTATTTTTCATTGAATAATTCACAACAAGAAGCCTTTTATCCCACTATATGGGGTTGGCTACATGAATCAATTTTCTCCCTTGTGTCCTATTAAGAATCAAATTCTCAATTAAAACTAATAAAAATAGTCATTTGTAATACTTTCTAACCAAGCCTCTTTAGGTTTACCTCTACCTTTCTTAATATAGGCTGAATCTAATTTATCTAGTATTTTAAAAACGACATCAAAAGGCCAACATTTTATGTGACCAAACTATTTAAGGTGTTCCTTTCTAATCTTATCTACACAGGAGCTACTCCAACCTTTAACATATATACTCGTTTAGCATTCTGTCTCTAAATGTAAAACCACTCATCAACCAAAACATCATCATCGTTGCAACACTTAATTTAATTTTTTGCTTCTCTTTTAATGGGCAACATTCTGAACCATAAAACATTGCAAGTCCCACCATCTTATATAATTTTTCAATAAATTTGAGGGATATCTTTCCATCACACAACAGGCATGATGCATTGCTCCATTTCAACCATTTAACTTGAATTCTACTACTAATATCCACATATGTTTCACCATCACTCGAACAACAGACAAAAGATATCTAAAATGTGCACTCTTTTTAATGACTTAATCACCAAATATCAAAATTCGACTATTTTATTTTTTTTTATATCCTTAAATTTGGTGAGTTTGTTCTATGAGAGAGATACCCCATCATTTGTGCAAGTTCTCTATATTCAATACAACTGTCATTCTCTTATTATTAGTCTCATTTGACAAACTTTCACCGATCTAGCTTAAAATACTTTCTAGGTTTTTGTGAGATCATATTGGTTAATCGATTCAACAACGAATACTCATCAATGGGATTGGCTAAACATTTATTTTTGCATTTGTGATAGTTCATATGTTGTGGTCTTTGTTCTTGGCTAGATTTTACGACTATTAGTATCAATCTATAATCTACTCATACTCGTATCAAAATTAAATTTCTTCTATGCTTTATTGCTTCTAATTATAAGCAAAAAATTAAAATTGTTCAAATTCCATTAAGTTAGACCCCCTAAAGGTATTGTGTATAGGCAACAACTTAAGGTTTAAGATTTAGATAGATCTAAATACTAAAGTTAAGTTGCCCAACTCATTTTAAGAAAACTGTTGTCACTAAAGCTATTCCTATAAGGTTAATATCAAATGTAACCCAATCATCCCTTCAATGTAATGTAGCCTTGGTGAACAAAACCTTCTTACATGGGATTGAATGTTTCCTAGTCCCTCACCTACTTATGAATGTATTTGGATCAAATATGATGTGATGCAATTCTTCAAAATGCAACTCATAGTTGATGAATATAGAATGATAAATCCGTGAGGCCTCTCATACAAGGGCCGATCACCAACTTAAGCAAAACCCCCACCCTAGCAGTGTAGCCTAGGTCAACAAAACCTCCTTTATAGTGATCGAATGTTGCCTATTCCACCATCTAGTTAAGAAGCTACTTGGATTAGATTTAGTTTGATGTGTCTCCAAGGAACGTGGCTTGTATAATTGATTCTATCCAATATGGGAGGGAGAGTTGTGCATTTAAGTTTAAAGTCACTATTAATAGATTACTCTTCCAAGCCCAATAGCACTGTTCAAAGAACTCTTACATAATTGCTTCCTAAACCTAAAATTATTATTCAAATGATTGTAGTCCACTAATAATTTCTATAACTTGGAGAATTCATAAGAAAAGGTCAAAAGTCTAGAAACATTATAGTCCAATCATTAAGGGTAATCAGATCCAACTCCAATAAGCAGCCCATTTGTTGAAGATGCAAAATTACTTTATGTTTTCAAGATTTAATGCTGGAGAAAAATATTATATATCCATAAATTAGGCCTCATTACCTCTGCAAGTTGTTTTTCAGTCATTTCAACACCTTCTAACAGAGATTTCAAAAGTGTCACCCCAATATTTTCATTAGTCTGATTGATCTTCGAAAAGTTCTCTTTGACTGCACTAGAAGCTCTTCCAAGATTATCAGCAACATCAAGCAAAGCCTTGGCAAAATTCTGTATTATCCAAAATATGCAAATAAAATCATTTGAAGTCACTTTACACATCTAAATGGAATTTTTTTTTTAAATGAGACAAAATAATGTACAATCATGGAATAACCAACTTACGGGAAATCAAAATCAATACCTGAATTCCATGCTTTTTTGAATTTTCTACCTCACGTTTTGTCCTTGCTAGAACATTTTCCATTTCCGCATAAGTACGAAGAACTTTCTCTTGCAACTTTTCATTCTCCTTTTGCTTTAATTCATTCTCCTTTTGCTTTATTTTCAACAAGTTGTCCCTCTCAACAACAAGCTTTACTAGCTCTTCAACAGACAACACTTCGAGTTCTGTATCAGAGTCAGAAAATACAGTTTTTTTAGTTGTTCTCCCCCTGTGCTTTTTACTAGAATGGTGCTCCACCTGTTCAGAATTTGAACTAAAACCTGCACTATTTGATTGTTCTGGAGCTGTAGAATCACCATTAGCTTCAGTTGATTTGCTAACCACCGTAGCTTCAGAAGTTTTTTGAGAAGGTTCAGATACTTTTGAAGAAGTATTATCCTGGTCCTCAGATGGGATCCTCCTCTCCTTCTCGGTGGCTTGAGGAGATGCAGAAGATGAATAGCCGAATCTTTGAAAGATAGTCTCCTTATGATATGAATGTCTTAGCAGACTCATATTATTGGGTAGCCCCTGCAACAAAGAAAAAAGTACATAGAATGTACACTTATTCAAACATTCTTAAGCACATACTACACGTATTGCTGCAAGGAAAATAAACATGTTGAAGTAGATACTCAAGTTGGCACAATAAGAAAGCATTGCTAGCACCAGATTCTCCATAAATGTACAATAACACCTCATTAATGTAAAACAAGAAATGCATTTACACTTAACCAGCTACAAATAAAGAAAGGTATCACCATACATAACCCAGTACATGAAAACTAAAAGTGTAAAGAAGATTTGCAAAGTACTCCATGTCGAAGGACTAGAAATTCTAAAAAAAAGGTTGTTTCAGCAGCTAAATACTAAAGTAAATGATAATGGGAATTGGATAACATAATAGGTATTTAACACTAATTTTATTTTCCATATCTAATCTATTTTTGAATATTTTTAATAATATTTATTTTTAATTTATTTAACAAAAGAATCAATTTTCTGGACTTCTAGCTAGTCATCTTTAATATCAGGACACTATTTCTTTTTTAATGCAATTTAAAGCATTTAATGAATTTAAAAATATTTCTTATTTTATGAAAAATAGAAATAATTTTATTCTTATATGAGTTCAATTCATATTTATTTAATATGTGCAATTAATATATCATTTCTTTAAATATAATATTATAATGTAATGTCCAATACGTGACGGTCCCATATTTGTAATAATAGACATTTCTTGTGTCCATATCAGTGCATACTTCAGTGATATAAGAGATAAACAAGAAAATTCTAAGAACATCTTTCCACCTATAAATCTCAAAAGACACTTGAAATCTACACAGGAGGCCTAGCCAAGATACAATCTTATACCATATACCTCATCATTTTTAAACCTTATTGATTACCTTTATAGAATAGCTCAAAAAATAAAATGCAAATCATGTTCCAGTTTACATAAATTCCACCAAAAACTATATTGCTACCCGCATATGATAATCCCACATGATAAAGATCGATGAAATGAATGCAATACCATGAACATATTGGAAGAAAGGTGATTGAAATAACAACGCTAAGTTAATCAAAATCATACCAAACACTAAACTATCTTTAAATATATCAAAATCATTTGAATGAGATCTCTAGAATAATGATTATAAATGCATCCCAAACAACATTATACACATAGCATCCCTGTGAAAAAAAAAATTAAAACTACTTAGAACGTTCATGCCAAATCACAAGTCATTAGAGAATTCAAAATTGGCATGCAGGAGGGGAAGCAATATCACATAACCTGAACTAGTAACATTTAGATGTTTCTAATTTACATTTGGCAGTACCATGCAAAAGTTTTAAGATTAAATAGGAGAAGCGTTAATCTCTAAATGATAACGAAGGTAAACATATCAGATTGCATAAATTGCTAAATATTCTGAATGGGTCCAAACGAAGACTGAAGTTCAGAGGTTAACATTGTTGACATGTGAAGCTTATTTTACAACATTGGCATTTACATTAATCGAATCATTCAGCACACCAAAACATAACAAAGATTTGAAAAGTTGGCACTGCTGAATTTGTGCATCAAATCATGCCTCTTATAAAACCAACAATTTCATTAGCAACTTATATAAATAATCTTAGAACATGCAACTGTTAATACAATGTGGTAGATGGATAATTCATTCAGTCTTATTCAAAATTATGCTCCTAAAGACCATTAAGAAATTCAACCAACAACATGGGCATGTATTATGAAATATACTTCGAGTGTCAAGCTAGCTGCAAAATCAACCACAGTAACAAGCACCTATCATCACTATACAACAGTTCCTGTTACTGCCTTAGAATCAAATGCTAGAAGTCATCCACAAGCTGCAATAGGCTATTAGGATTTCATGACAATAAGAACTCAAGTAAAACTAAGCCCCTCATAAACCTGACTATGATACCATTCCGACCTATAATTCCCCAAAAAAAAAAAAATAAGTAAAGTATAATGAAAAAATAACAGCATTACAAACCTTTTTTAAGGAAACAAAAAAACGATCAAACCCACCGATTTGACTGTTAGCATTTTAACAATCTAAGCTCATCTAACAATAGCCGTGTAAGAGTCTCACAAGAAGCAATCTTGTCACTACATGAAACTAGTGCAAAGAAAGCTGAAACGAACTCCCAGCCACAATGACATCCACACACTATCCATCACAGATGAGCCACAACATGAGCACCGAATATCGGCATGGCTCAAAAACCACCACCTATTCCTGTAGGGGTGGTGAAATCCATGGGTAGATGAAGTATTAATGTAAGTTTGGCTAATGTTTGTTAAACCTAGGACATATACAGCTTTTGTGTCGGAAATATGGTTAAGGCTATTATGCTTCAGGGGCACTTTTCATGTTGTGCTAAGAGCATTGATTGCATGTAATCAACCATTAAAAAAGCGGATGAGGCGTCCGCATTGAGTTGCGCCTCAAGTCGAGGCGGAAGTCATGCGTATCGGGGCTTACGCCTCGAATCATCGAGCGAAGCCTACGATTTTTTCGCACGAGGCGTACACATCAAAGCGTAACGCCTCGAGGCAGTACGAGGCACCGCTTCAAAATTTTTTCTTCAGCATATATGTAAATACGATGCAGCCAATTCGTGTTCGCGTATTCGCGTATAGGATTAGGGCTTCCTGTGAGAATTGAAAGGCGAACTGGAGGCAAAGCCGTGAGGGAAAGCGACGAAGCCATGAGGGAAGGAGACGAAGCTGTGAGTGCAGGAGACGAAGCCGTGAGTGCAAGAGACGACGCAGGAAACGAAGCCAAAAGAAATAACGATTTCGAAAGTAGGAAACGAAGCCGAAGTTGTGAGTGCAGGAAACATTCAGACCTCGATTAGGTCGGAAGAGCAGGTGAGCGGTGTTGTGGGCCTTGACTTTGACGTGCAGTAACGAAAGCTTGAATAACTCCTGATTCGGCTTTCTTTCATTCGTCTGCTTAGTACATGCTCGGTACTGCTAGGTATCGCTAGGTACTGATGTTAAGAAGACTTGGATTGAGACAGGAGTGACAATAATGTCAGATGGTTGGTCAGATATTCGACATAGAAGTATTATTAATTTCTTGGTCAACAATCCATATGAAATGGTTTTTCTCAAATCAGTAGATGCTTCAAGCTTTGTAAAGGATGCACAATTATTGTTTGAAATGTTGGATGAAGTTGTGGAGGAAGTGGGAGATGCCTTAGTAGTACAGGTTGTTACTGATAATGCAAGTGCATACAAAGCTGCAGGGAGAATGTTAATGGAGAAGAGGCCTCACCTTTACTGGACTCTTTGTGCTGCACATTGTATTGACTTGATACTTGAGAGGTTGGGACAATTGCCTCAACATAAATCAACCATATTGAAAGTCAAATTCGTTAGTAAGTTTATATACAATCATTCTTGGGTACTCAGCTTGATGAGAAAATTCACTGACAAGAAAATTATTAGATCTGCTGTTACAAGATTTGCTACTACATATTTAACATTGCAGAGATTCAAGGAGTTAAAACAACATTTGGAAGCAATGTTTGCTTCTAAAGAGTGGGATAAAAGTTCATGGGCCAAAAAACAAGAAGGAAAACAAGTTAAAAAGATTGTTATGAAAGACTATTCATTTTGGCGCAGTACAAATTATGTTTTGAAGACAACATGACCATTAGTAAAGATGCTTAGAATGGTTGATGGTGAGAGGGCCCCGGCTATGGGATTTAATTATGAAGCAATGAATAGGACTAAAGAAGACATTGCAAAAGAATTGGAAGGTCAAGAAAGTGCCTACAAATAAATATGGGATATTATAGATGAAAAGTGGGATCGACAATTACACCAATACTTACATGCTGCTGCGTACTATTTAAACCCCCAATTCCATTATGATAAGGATTTTTTTCATGTTGACAAAGAGGTGAAAACTGGTTTGTATGCATATATGGACATACTCATTTCTGAAAAAGACTATCTCAAAGTAATAATCAACTTGAGAATTTTCATTTGAAGAAGAGAATGTTTGAATTTAGAGCAGCACAAGCATGCTATAAAACATGATCTCCTAGTATGTTTATAGTTTGTGTATTTATAATTTTAATGTTAATATTTATGTTCAAGTCCTCTAATTCAACAAATATTCATAAAATACTATATTTGTCTTCATGTAGAACGTTGGTGGGCTCAGTTTGGAGATGATATTCCTGAATTGAAAACTTTTGCAGTTAAAGTTCTTAGCCTAACGTGTTCGGCTTCTGCATGCGAGTGTAATTGGAACATCTTCAATCAAATTCATATAAAGAGAAGAAATCGATTGGCGGCAGATCGAATGAACAAATTAGTTTATGTTATGTTTAACAAAAAACTGAAAGATAGACATCTCAATTTGCAAAATCAAGGAAATATTGAGAATGAAATTGTAATCTGATGATGAATGGACTACTCCTAAGAATGTTGATGTTTCTGAAGTAGAAGTAGAAGGAGAAACTCATATCAATGAAGAAGACAATGAAGCAAGTACCCAAGTATATAAAAGAAAGAAACAAAGTGAGATTGAAGCTTCAAAAAAATTCAAAGGTATTCTTAAATATAATGAATTATTTAAATATAATGAATTATTTTGTATGTTACTATTATTTCATTTTAGAGCTAATGAAACTGATATAGGAGATAAAGGAAAAAATATTATAGATGAAGAAGAGTTTGAGGATGACTTTGACATTAATTATGAATATTATTCTGAAGACAATTAAAATGATGATGAGCCTGCTTTGGGTCTTGATCCTAAGGGGATGTTTTATTTTTAAGTGAGTTTATTTTAAATCTTGTATTCTAGTAATATTATCTTGAAACAAATCTTCAAATTCATAGTTGACATAATATTTTGTTATTTTTTGTCATTATTTATAATATTAAATTAATTTATTTTGATCATTTTGAGGCTTACGCCTCGCCTCGCTTAGAAAAAACGCCTCGATTCCCGATTTCACCTTTTAAA